GTCTTTTTGAGACAGAATCTTGCTATGCAATTCAGGCTGGCCTTGTGTTCACTTTGTAGCCAACTACCCAGCCCATATCTTTTGTCTTTTTTGAGACAGGGTCTTACTACACAGTTCAAGCTGACCTTGAGCTCGCTTTGTATTCCAGGCTGGTCTCGAACTCACAACAATTTTCCTGCCTCAGCCTCCCAAGTGCCAGGATTACAGGCGTGTGCCACTATGCCAGGCTTCAAATGTCCAATTTTCAACAACAGAATAACAAGATACCATAAATTTTTAAGTATGACCCATTCAAAGGGTGAAAATAAATCAATAGAAACTGTCCATAAAGACCCAGTGATAGATCTAGTAGACAAAGACTTTAAAACAACTATCTAGCTGTGCGCATCTGTGATCCGAGCACTCGGCTAGCCTGGGCTACACAGTGAGTTGAAAATCAGCCTGAACTACGTACAGAAAGACCCTGTGTCAACAACAAAACCGAAAGACGCTAAAGTGACCTGGTGTGGTGGTGATTCAGGGAAAAATGATCTTCCGACCTGACCTGGAAGAGTTCGTGTTCTCTAAAAGCGAAGAATGAATTTTAGGAACCAATGGAGGCTAAGAGTAGAATATTTATTGGGAAAGAAAGCTTCTGTCTCAGAGGAGAGAGAAGGGGGCCCGAGCAGGTTGCCCAGGAAGCTGTGTCTTCCAGGTTATTATTATTTTTTTAAATATTTATGTGTGTGTGTGTGTGTGTGTGTGTGTGGCCAGCTCAGCCCACCAGGGGGCGGCGCTGGCTGGCATGTGGTGCTGGGGGATCGAACCACGGTCCCTTGAGCTTGTTCTAAGTAGGTGCTTTAGACCACTGAGCCATCCCACCAGCCCCCTCTTCCAGGTTATTTTTATAGGACAAAATCACGCGGGGCTAAGGAACTCACTTAGGTGGACAAGAGATGGGACAAAACTATGGTCAACCAATGGGATTACAAGCACCATTGCTCAGGTCAAATTGATTAAGTTCAGGAACAAATAGGGAAGCGAGTCAGGTGGCAAGCAGGCATGAATGTAGAACAGGACTATCAGGTAGCCATCTAGTAGTAGTTGGATTAACAGTTCTTCTGGCTCCCTCAGGTGAGGATCAATCTCGGATGCCAATCTTTAGGGAGGTCGGCATTTGTTTGATCTTTGGTCTTTAGGTCTGGCCCACGGCAGGAGCATTCGTCCCTCCCACAGTTGTAAGGTATCTTGTCTTTTGTGCTGTCTCCTTCAAGGGCCTGGCCCTGTCTGACTGCCTATAATATATCTAAGGGCCGAGGAGATGGCTCAGTAGAATAAGCACTTCCCTGGCAAGTGCGAGGGTCTGAGTTCAATCCCCAGTTCTGAAAAAAAATAAAAAATAAAAAATAAAAAAATTCTATCTAACTCGGCTGCCCGCAACACTGGCACACACAGTCCCGGCACCTGGAGGATGAGGCAAGAGAATCCCATGTCAAGGTCAGCCTCGGCTACACTGCAAGTTCCAGGTCAGGCTGAACCACATAACAACACCCTGTCTCAGGAAAAAAAAAACAAAACCAAAACTTGAGCAAAGCGTGCTGGCAGATTCCTGTAATCCCAGCACTCAGAGAGCTGAGGAAGGAGGAATCCTGCAAGTTTGAGGCCACCCTGGCTCACAAAGTGAGCTCAAGGCCAGCCTGATCTGCACAGCGAGACCCTGGCTCAAAAAGACCACCACCAACATTAACAATAAAACTTAAGCCAGGTGTAGTGGCATGTACCTGCGATTTAGCACTCTAGGAGCCAGAGATAAGAGGCTTGCAACTTCAAACCCCAGCCAGGGCAACCTCAAGACTTAGTGAGACTCTGTCTCAAAATAAAAATAAAGGGCTGGTGAGATGGCTCAGTGCTCTAAAGCACCTTCTTAGAACAAGCTTAGCAAAGCACAGGGACCGCGGTTCAATCCCCCAGCGCCACATGCCAGCCAGCCCCGCCCCCTGGTGGGCTGGGCTGGCCACATACACACACAAATAAATAAATAAAATTTAAAAAA